TTGAAGAAATGTAAAGTCAGCCGAAGGGTCACCGTATGATCACCCACTCCCATTCTCTGCCTTTCTGCGACTTAGCGTTTAGATGATTTTGTAAAGAGAGATCAGCGTGGGTTTTTCTAGGTGAAGTAAAGAGAAACATAAAAATACAGATGTGAGTCTTCTGCGTAGTGCCCTTTATACGTCTTGCAAAGACGTGCCAAAGAAGAATGTTGAGCATCTAGTTACTTAATTGGGGGGTGCTGTCTGAGAAGAGTAAGGCTGCTTTTTCCCTAATTACTTTCTTTCTACTGTGGTCTCACGGTCTCAGCTCTCCTGCCAGTATTCATAGAATGGAAAGGCAGCTTAAATGTCCCACAAAGTGAAGGCTTCCATCTTCACAAGAGGATGAAAAATCATAGAAGTTGTACTGCCTTACTAAAGACAGAAGACAAGCATGATAGATTAAAGTATAATTAAAGTCAGAATGTTCTAATCTTCCCTTCACATGGGCAAGATGGGACAGGAAGCACATCAATTAAATCTTTGGATAATCCTACAACTCTTTGCAGGCAGTGGGTGCCAATTTTCTCACCACCAACGTTTCCTAAGTTATTGTTTTTTTTTAAAGGCAAGTCATCAGTTGGCATTTGTCTTCAATAAGCTGTCCTGTATTTCAATTGAATAATAGAATGAAAGGAGAGAAACAAAGGGCCTGGCAGTTGATTCTTAAAGGGAAGGCAAAGCGAGACCTGTTCATTTTTTTCTCATACTATTGTAGCAGGTAGTAAAGTTCATGTGCCTTTCCTATTGACATGTGCTTTTTTTCTTCCTGCCCTCATTGCCTCAGGAAGAAGATCCTTTTGATTTTCTTCCAGACCAGACTGGACCTCAGTTGTCGAAAGTGGTGCTGGCGGGGTGTCTGACACAGGAGCAAGACTGTTCTTGGAACATAATGATGACGATAGATCTGAAGGTGGCTGAGTATTTGAACCCTCAGATCAGGGCTCTTTGGGAGACCAACATACCTATGACAGAGAGCTCCAGTCAGAGTAAGAAATATACCCCACAAACGGACAGTCTCTGTCCCGAGAGCTCTCGCCAGCACTTCCGGAGCTTCCATTATCATGAGGCAGCTGGACCCCGTCAGGCTGTGGGCCAACTTCAGGAATTATGCCATCGGTGGCTGAGGCCGGAGATCCACTCAAAAGAGCAGATCTTGGAACTCTTGGTGCTAGAGCAATTCCTAACCATTCTGCCCAGGGACATCCAGACCGGGATAAAGAAGTACCATCTACAGAGCATTGAGGAGGCTGTGGCCCTGGTAGAACACTTGCAGAAGGAATCTGGTCAAATGAGGAATGGGGTGAGAAGAAAGGTTCCTGATACATACAGTGAATTAGGATGATGGTGGATATATTGGGGGTGGGGGCAGTTAATTGAAAAATTAGATGAATTAGGCCACTGTTCTGTTGTTCCTTTAGGACATCTAAGGCAGGGCCTGAAGCCACAGACCCATAGGAATAATTAGTCCATAGGTTTTGGAGATCCTGGCACAGACTTCCTTGGCCTTAGAGAAAAAGTTGCTTTTTGCCCTCTTTGGAGTCAGGGTAGATTGAGGGTTATAAGCCTGGTCTGGCTTGTTGAAGGAGATGGGTCTTAAGTTCTTAGAAACAAATAAAAGACAATTAGAGTTGGAGAGGAAGGGGCAGTTCCAAAAAAGGGAGAACACTTAGAGATCAAAGGAGAGTAAAGATGAAAAAGAGAAGGAGAACGCAAACAGCTGGGGGAAGACAGCAAAGGAAGAGAAAAAGTACAAAGAAAAAAGGAAAACAAAGATTTGGAAATCCTAACAGTAGCTAAGAAAGACTGAGAGATAGTGTCCTCCATACCATAGACAGGAGCCTCCACTGCCCTCCCTTAGTGGTTGGCCTTGGCTCTGCTGGTGAGTGGGGATTCAGGATGTGCTCTTGGGCAGGGGACAGCACACCAACTAGCTTCAGGCCTGCCATGAAGAATACAGGGCAGGCATATCTTTGGTGTCAAAATCATTTGGAGGTAGGTTGGAGCCAGACTCTTTCCTGGTCTTGTTTTCTCCATTTCATCCCCATTCTCTGAAAACCTTCCCTAGCCATGGGGAAAATCTGGTTGACAGGCTAATTTTGTTATTCAATTCCTTAATCTTTTGAGAAAACTAGAACACAGAAAACCACTGAGGCAGGGATATAAGTCAAGAGAGAGAGCCTGTCAAGGCAGCATGAGAACAGGTGGCCTGCACAATGTTGCTAGTGGACTAAGCTGGGCTGTATGCAGGGGAGTGGGGGCCGCAGTGTTGAAAGGTTGGCGGTAGCCACACCTTTTTTCCTTTTATCCTAATTTTCCCAGATTTTTTGGATAGTTGTATGTGGAAAATGGTGGCCCAATACCTCTTTAAGTCTTTTTGTCATTTCCTTTAGTGTCTCACGCTTCTCACAATCTGGACTTTATGCTTTTTATTCCCTCTTCCACCAAACCCCAAACCAAAAGTAACTGAGGTAACATGGATGGGAATTATTTCTAGGTTGCAGCTCATGAGCTGGGAAAGGAGGCAGTGCTCTTGGGAGAAACAGCAGAGGCCCCAGGCTTCAATCTGAAGCCAGCAGAATCCCAGCCAGTGGGCATGTCCCAGGATGAAGAATTTTGGAGTACATACCAGGGTCTACAAGAACAGCTGAGCAGGAATACTCATAAAGAAACTGAGCATGTATGTGAAAGGGGTAAGGAGCTTCATAATAATTTTCTTCTCCTGGGAGCTGTGACAGTCCTTTGTTCAGCCTGAACGACGAGAGCATTTTCTGGGTGCCCAGCTCTGTGGATCTGCAAATGCACCCATATTAGCAATTACAATGCCCCCCACCCCACCCCCTGGCGGCAGTAGAATAGAATGAGCTATGGGTAAAGGTGGGGGTTCGTGTAAAGTACAGAGATATCCAAACCACAGAACCCTGATAATAATATCATGAACTCTGTTCCTTAGAAAAGTGGGGTGGGTTGGGGCCACCTCATTCTCATCAAATACTGAAAGAGTTGGGTTCAGAAATGGGCTGTCGCTGGCAGAATGTGAACACAATTGTGTACCAGGAAAAAATAATAAATGATAAAAAACATCTCCTATTATACACTGGAGTCCCTGAGTACTTCATTTTCAAATACATTTAATTTTTGCCTAACTCAGAACAATTTATGTAAGAAAATAAAAGGGGTTTTCTTCTATTAATTTCACTCATGAGAACTGGGGAACCTGTTCTATGGGCTGGTAGATACTTGATTCTTATTTATAATAAGAAGGCCACTTCTAGGCCCCCCATGCACTTGTAAAGGTGTCGCCTCTTTACTGGAAAAATTAGGATTCTCTGTATTTTAGAAATAAGCTCAGGATGTTTGTAGACAGAAGCAAGAGAAATTTTCTCTGGCTCTTTTCCACCCACAGCTGTGCCTGCTCACCAGATCCCAGCCTCTCCTGAGCAGACAAG